GACCTTTCTCTCTGTCTCTCTCTCACTGTCTAACTCTGCCTATCCAAAAAAAAAAAAGAAGCCACAGAGGCTATGAGTCTGAATCTCATATTTGTTAATTATTACCACTCCCTAGGCTGATTTGTCTTTCTTTTACATCTTCTCACTTAGGTGAACAGTGGCCTATATATAATGGATGGATTTGAGTTGAATACTTTTTTTATTTTTTGTTTTTGTTGTCAATAATTAGATGAAATGTAATTTAATAACAAATTAGTAAATTGCTTTTTCTACAAATTATATCTAGGTTAAAATTAGTCAGCTTACTGACTACTCTGTCTCTGCCTTCCCAATAAATAAAAATATGTTAATTAAATTTTAAAAGCCCAGGAGGGAGGGGGGTATCACAAGCATTTGGCACAGAAGTTAAGATTACTTAAGAAGCCCACATTCCATATCAGAGTGCCTGAGTTTAACTGCCAGCTCCATTTCCAATTCCAGCATCCTGCTAATGCATACTCTGCTAGGCAGCAGGTGATGGCTCCAGTACTTGGATCCCTGCTACCCTCTTGAGAGACCTGGATTGAATTCTGGGTTCCTGGCTGCAGCCTGGTCTACCTCAGCCACTGCACACATTTAGGAAGTGATTGAAGGAAAAGTTGCTTACTGTTGAAAGACAGCTTAGTAATTAGGCTTCTGCAACTTCAAGTCTTTTCACTATGATTTTGACAGTTCCTTTTTATGCTTTTCTGGTAAGTCCTTGGATGGTGAAACAGAAAGTACTGATCCTTCTGTTCTTTGACGTAGTAACATCCAAATGGTGAAACAGCTTGCATAATGTCCCTAGATTCATTGAAGAAGTTTGCACTACACCACAGGAGTGGTTACGGTTTATAAATCAGTGTCCTGGAAAGCACTGCTTGTATGGGGTTTTCCTTAATCCTCCCAAATTAGACAATTCAAAGACACTTTTACACAGAATGCTTCAGTTGTTGCCTGTATGTGACTAGCATCTCAGTTCTTTTAAAGTTCCTCATTTTCTTTTTAAATGAAGAACTTAGTTATTTCTATAACTCTTTCCATGACTTTTAATATTTAAAGTATTTAAAAATAAGTGTATGTATAAATTTTTTTAATGTAATTGTTATTCCATGAAGTTTTTTTCATGGAATAATACCAATGTTAAATTTTTTTTCCATGTACTTATTTGAAAGGCAGAGAGCAACAGATCACCTGTAAACGATTCTTTCAATGACCACAAAAGCAGAGATTAGACCTGCCAACGCCGGGAGCCTGGAACTCTGTCCAGGTCTCCAACATGGGTGGCAGGGACACAAGTTTGAGCCATCACCTGCTGCCTTCCAGGATGCTCAGTAGCAGGAAGCTGCTTCAAAAGCAAAGCCAGAACTCGAACCCACAGCCTCTGCTATGGGATGTGGGCACCCTAAGCAGTGACTTAAATACTGCCCCAAATGCCTGCAACCTAATACTTGAAAATTTGATCAGAAACAGCAATTATATATTTTAGAATGTAAATAGTTGAACTTTTCAGAATTAAATAATGTGGTTTTGCAAATATTTAGTAACATTTTTGAGCACACTATAATAAGGAAAACAGTTAAATTATAGTAAGTCCTAGTATTTTAGAACATCTACATATCATTATTACAAACATTATCTTTATTGCATCATCAAATTCCTGACATTTACTGAATCTTCAACATGTGCAAGGCTTTAGTAGACACTGCATACTTTGTTATCGTTCAACCCTCAAGCATTATTAGGTTATAGTTTCTGTACTCATTTTGCAAGAGTGTTCCTCTTTTGGGTCAGGAAAGCTATTTGACTTGATCACTCAGCTAGCAAGAACCAATGCCATGACTCCAGAGCCTAAGCCTGCCCTGCAGACTGTGTACCCTATGAAATCCTGAGCTCTGTTCTACCAGTACCCTTAAACCAACATAATACCTGGCACACAGTTCATGTGAATGTTTGTTGGGTAAACTTGCCTCTCAAGAATAGTAACAATAATAGAATTTCTCAACAGGGCCGGGGCCATACCTGGGAGATTGGCACAGGATGATGTATTCCTGGAATACCACCTTGGAACTCAAAATACATTTTTTCACAGAGAAATCTTATTACATGTGGCAGGAAGATTCATGACAATGAATACTTGAAGTTACATGAGAACTTGTGTTCTTAAAGTGTGTGTGTGTGTGTGTGTGTGTATGATTTATTTATTTATTGTTTGAAATGCAGAGTTACAGAGGGGCAGAGGTAGAGAGAGAGAGAGAGAGGTCTTTCATCTGTTGGTTCACTCCCCAAATGGCTGCAACAGCTGGATCTGAGCCAATCCAAAGCCAAGAGCCAGGAGCTTCCTCCAGGTCTCCCATGCAGATTCAGGGGCCCAAGGACTTGGGGCATCCTCTACTGCTTTCCCAGGCCCTAACAGAGAGCTGGATCGGTAGTGAAGCAGCCAGGACTTGAACTGGCGCTCCTATGGGATGAGCAAGGAATGTTGAGCTTTTCTAGGGGATGAGGGACAAAGACCCTTAGTATCCCACCTTCTAAGTTTCCCTCCCATCTGTCCTTCATTTCTTGCAACAGCCTGTGGTCTGAGAGCCTTCAGCTACTGGAAACAGAGAATGACCAATCTCTGCTCCAGATAAGTTTCTTATTTTCAAATGAAGAACATAAGATTTAGAAAGCTACATGAAATCACAATTTGTGGCAGAAGGCTAGATGTGATTTTCTGTGCCTAATGTTTATAGTTCTTTGATAACTTCTCTCAAGCACTGTTTAAATATTAAATCTTTATATAAAACTTTAGTATTGTATTTTATCATGCGTTAAGTCTGAAATAAATATCCTTTACACAGTGCCTACCTAAGAATTAGTATTAGCATACTGCTTCACCATTTGAGTAACTTTTCCATGCTATCTGAGGCTCACAGTGCTAGGGATGGGATGAATAGTATTTCATTTTATTTTATCATTATTACTACTTTAAGATATCTGAGAATACTTCAAAAAGTTCATGGAAAATGGACTTTAAAATGTTTTTTGTTATGCAAAAATTTTTGAAATTAATGCATAATTAATTTGTAATGCACATTTTCATGAACTTTTTGAAGTAATTATTTGAGAGAGAGAGTGCCCATCTGCTGGTTTACTCCCTAAATTCCCTTAACAGCTAGGACTAGGCCAAGCCAGGAGCAAGGAATTCAGTCCTGGTCTCCCATGTCTGTGGGAAGGACCCAACTACTTATCATGTGCTGCCTCCAGGGTTTGCATTAGCTGGAAGCTGGAGTCAGGAGCCCCTGGAGCCAGGTGTCAGAGCTGGATAGCAAACCCAAGTACTCTGATGTGGAGATGTGAGTGTCTTTAAGTGCTATGCTAAATGCATGCCCCATGACCTTTTTTTTTCTTTCTTTTTTTTTTTTTTTAAGATTAATTTATTTATTTGAAAGGCAGAGCTACAGAGAGGGAGAAAGAGAGAGAGGTCTTCTCCCCAAATGGCTTTACTCCCCAACAGCCAGGTCTGGGCTGATCCAAAGCCAGGAGCCAGGAGCCAGGAGCCTCCTCCAGGTCTCCCACATGGGTACAGGGGCCCAAGGACTTGGACCATCTTTTACTGCGTTCCCAGGTCACAGCAGAGAGCTGGACAGGAAGTGGAGCAGCCAGGACTTGCACTGGAGCTTATGTGGAACCCCAGCACTGCAGGCAGTGGTGGCTTTACCTGCTATGCCACAGTGCTAGCTAGCCCCATGAACTTTTTGAAGACACTTGTATGCTTGCATTTAATTTTTTTGGGGGGGAGCACCAAAATAAGCATTTTAAAATTCCATTTTTCCTATGAACTTTTAAAGATATCCTTCTAGGTTTAGACTAATGTCTCACAGCTAACAAGTTGCAGGGTCAGTATTCAAAACTAAATTTCCTCAGGATAAGATTTGGATTCAGGGGCTGACGTTGTGGCATAACGGGTAAACTGCCACCTGCAACACCAGCATCCCATATGGGTACCAGTTTGTGTGCTGGCTGCTCCACTTCTGATCCAGGTCCCTGCTAATGGCCTGGGAAAAGCTGCAGAAGATGATTCAAGTATTTGGGCCCCTGCCACCCACATTGGAGATCTGGAAGAAACTCCTGGCTCCTAGCATCAGCCTGGCCCCTGACCCCTGTGGCCCTCTAGGAGGTGGACCAGCAAATGGAAGATCTCTATCTGTCTCTCTCTCTCTCTCTTCCTCTAACTCTACATCTCAAATCAATCAATATTTTTTTTAAATGATTTGTAATCAGACTCAATTGGACTGGTGCAGCCAGCCTGCATCAGAAAGCAGACTTCACCGTTGTAGTCATGGCGAAATGGGGTAAGCCACTGAAGGGAGAAGGAAGATGTTAGGGGAAAGGCCTTCATCATTGAAGGTTGTAGTGAAGGAACAAATAGAATCTTGGGTATGTAAAGGGAGTGCAGGTTTTGAGCAATGACTGCAGTGAGTATACAATGGTGAATTTTATTGAAATGAGAGGGTAGAAAGGAGCATTCCCTCAGACTTAGGTTCAAGTATCTCTTTTTTTTTTATTAACAATTAGCTGTGTGACCTTGGGTAATCAATTGATCTTGGCAGTCTATAAAAAGTGAATAATAATATTAGCCTTGTGAAAACTGCTCTTACTGCTTTGATGTCTGAGGTATTTTTTTCCCTTATGGGTTCTGTGTGTTTCGATGTTTGTAGTGGCTACATAGCTGAATTACGGATTGGCTGCACATGTTCCTATCTTGAAGGCATAAAGTATGCTAGAAGCTTCCTGAGGAAAGATGCCTCAGAAGGACACCAGCTCTTTGAACCAATGTTTATTCCCTTTTCTTTCTGACAGATTAGACTCCTGAGCCATCTCCAGTCTGGTTCTCATTTTTTATTTGGTTATAAAGGGATTAAATTCTCTTCTTGTTTATGAACTAGTAGTTAGTGAATTGTTCCATCACTAATTCATGTTTTTTTTTTTTTTTTTAGTTGTATAATTTTGGAGAGACAGTGTCTATTGTTTTTTGGACAGATACCTGGAGACCCGAAAGCTTCTTTGACAAAGTAAAGAAGAACAGAGAAAATGGCATGCACACGTTATGCTTACTAGGTAAGGGTTTTGGAGTTTCCTTAGAGTTGCAATGTGAAGTTGTCATATGGTTCATATTTTGATTTTGTGTTAAGTTGAAAACTGTAACTAACTAAAAGTAATGTGCATGCTACACTGTATGCCAGACTCCCAGGGAGACAGGCATCTTCTACAATACCACATGGCTACTCCTGCATGTACATTTCATGTTACTCTCCCTTATATGACCTGATAGATCTTCTCCAACTTTCCTACTTGACATTTGTCCATCAGGTTCCTTTTTTTTTAGTGTATTCCAGTTCAACAGACTTATATTGAGCAAAAGTCTTCTCAAGCACCATGCCACATTTTCCTAGGGTTGTTCTTTGCATACTACAGTATTAATGCTATCAGAATCACAAAATGATTGATCTAGAAAACCTCAAAATTATCTTACTGAGACCTGTTTTACAGATGAAGTTGAGGGCCAGAATATTGAATCATTTCCCTAAAGTCCTCCAGCTGATTATTGGTGGCAAACTGGTAGAATCTACAAAGTCTGCTGTTTCCAGCTCTTTACATTGCACTATCCTGCCCACATCCTTTTTCTTTGTGGAAACAACTGAGATTGCTATTGTTGTGGGCAAGGCTAATGATACTGAGCTTTAGACAAGAATGGACTTTGCTTTCAAGCAGTCTCTGAAATTGAACTGGTTCACGTTCATTAGTAGGCACCTATTCTATTAGGAAGACATAATCCCGGTACTCATACTAATTATCTGGAGAATATTATAAACATGCCATTATCTTTGCCTTCACATTTATTAAATGGGAATAATCTCCCCGTCCTCCCAGAGCTGTTTAGAGCCAGGCCTCTAAAATTTGTGATGAAAGTCCAGGATACCTTTGTTTGTTGTTAAAAAAAAATTGTTCTATAATTTTCAATCTTTTGTATGTCAGATTACTGAAAAGTTCATAAATACTTGTACTCACTCATGTGATTACTCCATCATTTACTGGTTACAAAAACTCACATACTGACATCAGTCCTGGGCTCATGTTTCAAATTGTACTAATTTGATGATACACAATGTGAAGTCACTGAGCAGAATGCCTACCCCTAGGGAAAGAGCCAAGGATGAACCCATGATGTTGACCTCTGTGATAATACAGATACTCAAAACATTAGGAAAAGTTTCTATCTGTCAAAAACTTTCAAGTTATTTGCATAATATAGCCAGTTCTCAGCTGTTCAATAGTATATAATTTTGTACATCAATTTTGTAAGACAATCAGTATGTCTTAATAAAAGAAGTTCATAACTCACTTTTACCAATGGTTGGCATTTGTAGGAGTGCTGAACATCTGGTCTGCAGTCCATGTAAGGTCTGCGGAATCACTTGGTCTGGCCCTCCCAAGGCAACTGCAAGTGGGACTTGGAATTCTGTAAATCTATAGCAGGCTGATTTTTAAGTTAATAATTTTGTGTGGTCCACAAATGATGTTATACATAGCCAATTGGCCCTTGGCAGAAAAAAGCCTCCCCACCCCATAGAAATTGGAAATTAATATTCAGTGCCCATGAATCCATTCTGGCTTTCTGCTTGTTTTGTAAAGGTGGTTTACTGGAACACACCCACACACATTCATTTATGTATTTTAATCTGTGGCTACTTTGGAGCTACAATGATAGCAATGAGTGTTTGTGACAGAGGCCTTATGTCCCTCAACCTAAATTTTTGCTTTTAAAGAATTTGCCATGTCCTGATCTAGAGTGAAATTTTATCTAATCTCATGTACTGTGCCCTGCGCCCCCCAGTAACGCTATTTCCCATTACATTATTTTCCTTCATAGTCATATAACCCATCTGAATTATCTTACCAACTTGATTTATTTCTTCCGTACTTCATAAGAGCTAGAACTTTGTCTTGTTTATTGCTGTCTTCCTAATGTCTAGAAATCTGGCACAGTGTAGCTGTTCAATAAATATTTATGGACATTAATTGGTTGGAAGTTTTTTGTCAGACTTGGTTATTACCCCAGAAATCTTTAACTCTTGCTAGTTCATTTAATTCTAGCCAGAGTACATTCCATTTGTCCTATAAATCCCAGACCTAGATCAGGCCATAAATGCTTCTCTAACATTTTCTTTTTTGGGTTATGCCTATCTATATTGCACATATCATTAGCTGGTACAATATATTTTCCTGTTCTATTTTTTTGCCAGTGTGATTTAGTGTTTCATTAATAATAATTAATTAGCTTTATAGTTTTGTCCTTGGATTTTCCATGTGAAAAGAGAAAAGGGTCTTAACTTTTTTTAGTTTTTACTAACCAGAACACCTGAAAGCACTTCATTAATTGGTATGGACTGTACCATCAGATATACTCATCTTGTTAGCCAAGGCTTATGTCTATTGAAGCCCAGAAACAGAAGGTCAACACAGAACGGTCGGTGAAGCTATTACACAAGTATGTGTAACTGAGGGATGAAATATGGTGAATTATTGGAGCTCAGATACTAGAGTGTATGTGTGTTTTACAAGAAGATTGAGAGTTTAAAAATAGAGGAAGACTCTAAGAGGCAGGCTACCTGATAACCTTTCCATACATCCACTAACAATGGAAGGAAGGAAAGCAATCCCCATTTATTTTTTGGAAAACTTTAGGAACACAGGTAAAAAAATTATTTTTAAGTATTTATTGAGTGCTTAATCTGTACTCAACATGGAGTTAGATTCTTTTGGAATACTGAATTTTAGCCATGGATCCTTTCCTCAGAGTTTTGTAATCTAATTTGGAACCAATGTATTAATGCACATGAAAGTTTAAAGAACAATTAAGTTCTGTTGTATAGAGAGACAGGAAGGGCAAACCAGAACTTTGGCTCTTGAGTTTTCTTTCTAAGAGCTGTCTCTTTTCTTAGCTTTCCTGGGAAAAGACAAACAAGGTTAAACAATGTATCTTCCTTGCTCCTTAAACAAAAGCAGGAACAGGGTGTGAAATGTAGGATGTCATGATTCCAAATCCTCAAACCATGGATCTCATCATTTAATCATATTACATTCTCTTCACTTAAATTAGTATGGGTTTAGGTTCTCTTAAATTAGTATGCTTGTTACATTCCAAACCTTGTATTGATTACTGAGAATAAACCATGGTAGAGGACCACAAAAAATATAAAACTTACTTAGAAAGACAAGAGCAATTATCTGATGTAATCTGAGGTTAATAAAAGCATTAGTTGTATAGATATTTCTAATAACAATGAACATTTAGAAACCCAAGGTAAATGAATAATAAATGTGTTAAATTTTTTAAAATCTCATAAACATCATTTAAAAGAAATGTAAATCCTTACACCATTAAATGTAAATTATATTGAAGGTCAGATTTACAGTAACAAATATTCATTTTTTCATATAAGTACCAGACAAGTAGAAATATAAAATACTGGTATTTCAAACTTGAAAAGTACTTTTGGTGCTCATTCCAAGAACATTTAAAAAAGTATATATGAGATTAATCTCTGCTATATTTTCTAAGCAATCTTTTTAGTATACTTTAAAAGAAAAATGTTTTATAAACACTTAGGAAAGCTACAGAAGTCTATCAAATACTCTTCAGTTCTCAGTTGCACTATATTTATTTTTGCAAAAACAAACTTTGGCTGAACCATTTGTTTTTGGCATGTAAAACAGGAAGCAGCTGTTGCTGTTGCTGTTGCTGTTGTGTACGGAGTTCCTGTGAGGATGTAGAGAGATACTGCTTTTTACCTTTTACCAAGTAGTTCCACTGACCATCAGTGATTTAAAAGTATGAGGAATCGCCTATTTCGTGAGGCTTGGTCTGTCAGGCTTGATGACCGACGAGATGATGTCTGGTCAGGTCCCTTTATTACTCAAGTGCTGGCACAGTGTCCGACACACGGTTGCTGCTCTGAAGCCCTACTCAAGCTATGAAATGTTTCCCCATTTATAAGAAAGCAAGTTTCTTTTCAAAATATGGTAATAGGCTTTTTTCTATTTGTGCTACATCCATTGAAGCTTTCATTTCGGTGCTTGAAAAATTGGTAAGAACAGGAATGTAACAAGACTTTTCAGTTGGGTTTCTGCAGTTACCAGCTAGTTGAACTGAAAACAAAGATTATGATTAGCTGTTAGATAGTATATGTGCCAATACTTAATTCTTTCCTTTGTCTTCTTTCCCAACAGGAAATTAGATCCCTGCAGGATGGTAGCAGGGCCAAGCTCATGTTTGTTTCCTAACCAGTAACCTTTACACAACCACAAGTTTTCACTCTTCTATGTATTTCCTTATGAAAGTGGCAAGACACAACTGTGAAGAAAGAGAGCTTTGGGAGACGTAGGAAGAAAGTTGCCCCCAATTTTAGATAACTCTTATACATAGAATTGTGTATAATAAAGTTCTTAATTAAATTAAAAGAACAAATTTTCACTTCCTTTCAGACATCAAAGTAAAGGAACAGTCTTTGGAAAATCTAATCAAGTAAGTTCTCATTCTGAGAATGCTTCCATCTACTTTAATTCCTTAAGTAATTCAATACATTCTGCTTGAATGACCTGAGTTACAGAGATTGTTGAAAATCAGCTTTCATTAAAAGTTAAACATCAAATACTTTTATTATTATGAAGTGATACCTAGCGTGATAGAGTGGAAATAACAGTAGATTTCATAGACTCAGTGCTGAGAATAGTGGTGGGTATCTGGTAGGCAATTAGTAAATATTTTTGGAATGAATTAGTACATGGGAGCAGAAGATGAATATGATCCTGAGTCTGTCTCTAGTTGCTTGTTCATGGGCAAGTCACTTCTATTTCTGAACCTTATTTTCCTCATATATTAATGGTAGTACTAATCATTTTTGCTTATGGAGGCAGTAGTTAATATAATAGCCACTCTCCACATGTGGCTAATGAGCACTTGAAATGTGGCTAATGTGACTGAGGAGTTGAATTTTTATTTAATTTTAATTAGTTTAAGAATGATACTCCATTTAAATTGGAAAAATTTTAAGTTTGAATTAATTTCAGTTGGTAAATCTATTTTTATGCCATAAATTTTAAGAAATTTAAATATATATCAAGTAATTCCAAAAAAAATTTAACATCTAAATTAAGATGTGTGTGGGCTTGCGTTGTGGTGTCATGGGTCGCGCTGCCATTTGTGACACCAGCATCCCATATGGGCACCAGTTCAATTCCAGGCTGCTCCACTTCTATTCCAGCTCCCAGCTAACACACCTGGGAAAACAAAGAAGGATGGCCCAAGTTCTTGGGTCCCCACATACATAGGAGAGACCCAGAAGAATCTCCTGCCTCCTGCCTTTGGATTGGCCCACCTCTGGCCATTGCGGCTATTTGGGGAGTGAAACAGCAAATGGAAGATCTGTCTTTCTCTCTCTCTCTCTGTAAATCTGCCTTTCAAATAAATAAATATATCTTTGGATAAGTAAGTTAATTAAATGTGCTATAAGTGCATATCAGACTTAAATATATTTTGTTTATATTGATAATGTGTCATTAACATCAAATGTGCCATTTTTTACTTTTGCTAATGTGGCCACTAGAAAATTTTAAGTTTAAAAAATTTTAACTGTTATTTTTGTGATTTGTATTATATTATTTTGGATAGCACAGACTGAGAATTGTTTTGACAGTAAAATAATCTAGATGAATTGTTTTATAAGCTACAGGAGCTGTCTTTATTATTATGCTTACTGAGCAAAGCTGCTAGGCTTTTGAGGCATACAGAAGTAACCATTCAGGGAGATTTCAGAGTTTTACTGCTTTAGTTTAGTTTTCTTAGAGCAAGAAGCGAAAAGAGTAAAAATAGGCTAACCTTGGTAATAAAGAGAACACTAAAGAATTTCATTTAGTAAGAGTATAGAAGTTGCCATTTATTTAGAATTATTTTTGCCTAAGGCATCACTTTGAATAAAGATAACTTTGACTTTAGACATCTGTATTTGTTAGAATTTTATATCTGCCATCATTTCAGTAACATCAGAGGACATGTGAAGTAGCATGATTAAAAAGCTTAGGAAATTTAAACAAAACCATCACTGTACCCATGCTTTAGTGTATATTTAAAGTAGGCATCATGAGGAAACTTCAAACAGAATATAGACTGTGGTGCTTCAGCATACCTGGGGGAGTAATTGCTTTAATAATGTATTATGTAATTTCATGGCTAGGACAGATTGCATCTAGTATTATCATTACAGGGGAAGGAAGATCTATCAACCTCCTCGGTATATGAGTGTCAACCAGGCAGCCCAGCAGCTTTTGGAGATTGTGCAAAATCAAAGAATACGAGGGGAAGAACCAGGTATTCAAGAGTTCTCATGTTATTCCTCCACTGCTGCATTTAGAAATGTATGTGATTTAACATCTGACACATATGATTTACACCTCTGGAGCAAGACTCAGTGTGCAATGTACCGTTTCTTGTCTTATTTCCCTCTAACTTTAACTTAAATCTCACAGGCTTTAACTTGTACCAAAAGAAAAATATTAGAATTCTTTATAGTAAAATTAACACCATTCCAGAAAGTGAGGCTTTTTCACAAATTAAATATGAATCAGATTTGATGTACATATGTTAATGTATAGATATTTTGGCAAAATACAAAATCAAATTTAAGCTGTAATTAATGATACCTATTCTGCAAAAATATGTTTATTCTACTGTTTCTCATTCTCAACATTGAGATAGGAATAGTTTTCTTTAGAGTAAAAACAAAATTTATATTTCTAATATATAGACAGAGTATATGGTACATGATAAAATGTTTATTGGCAGTAAGTCTTGAGAGATTCCTAAATGAATCTGTTATTCTGTTATCAGGTGCTGACTGCCTGTCCTGTGAGAGAAAAGATATGTTAAGAGATTCTTGAGTGACCATTGTGTGTTTTCTTTATATTAGTAGGCCATTTTACATTCATAAAGCAAATTGGCTGCAATGATGTTGTACATCCATAACTTTGTACAGAGATTTTGCCCACCTGCTTGTCTTTGTCTGAACCACTTGCCCCAGTTTGATATTGTTCAAGCAGAACAACTTTCCCAACTACATAACAGAACCATTAAAGGGCCAGCCTTTCATTTATACCACTAAATTGAATAGTACTAAAGTATCATTCTTAGTATAACTAAGCTTGGTTATTTTGAACTTAAAAGCACTAGAAATATCTTACTATTCACTACCTGTTAGGTGCTCTGTGGTTTAACACTCTCACATCCAGTGTCTTAGCCCTTACAACCACCATTTAAGAGAAAGAATACTGAGCTAAAAAATGAGAGAAATTGCTGGCGCCACGGCTCACTAGGCTAATCCTCCGCCTTGCGGCACCGGCACACCGGGTTCTAGTCCTGGTCGGGGCACCGGATTCTGTCCCGGTTGCCCCTCTTCCAGGCCAGCTCTCTGCTGTGGCCCGGGAGTGCAGTGGAGGATGGCCCAAGTGCTTGGGCCCTGCACCCCACGGGAGACCAGGAGAAGCACCTGGCTCCTGCCATCGGATGCGCTGGCTGCAGCGTGGCAGCCATTGGAGGGTGAACCAACGGCAAAGGATCTTTCTCTCTGTCTCTCTCTCACTGTCCACTCTGTCAAAAAAAAAAAAAAAAAAGAGAGAAATTGAAGTTTGTTGAGTATCTAATTAGGTGGCCAAGCAGAAACTGAAGCTATGTATTTACTTTGTATCCCATGGTTTTTCTAGAGTATCTTGGTGAATATGAACATATCTCAAGTTAGTTTCTTAAAAACATAAATAAAAAAACAACACAGTCTCTTCAATCTGTTTAAAAACAAATGTTATGCAGTGGTAAAGAGTATGGATGCAGCTACTTGTTTATCAGACCTAACAATTTGAACTCATATATGCCTCTGGAATTCTGAAAGGGTATAGTTGGGAAATACTTCATTACGTATTGGGTAGTGCAAATGATTCAAAAAAGTCTTGGAAAACTCAATGGATAATTGGTCCATAATGAGTACTTAAAGAAATTTAAGATAATTGTGGGTTCTTTAAATATGCTTGTGATACTAATGCCAATTTGAATGTTGGACAAGATGATGCATTTGCCGAACTGAATGGTAGTATCTTTTTTTTTTTCCTTCATAGCAATCACTGAGGAGACACTGTGTGTCGGCTTAGCCAGGGTTGGAGCAGAGGACCAGAAAATTGCAGCAGGCACTTTACAGCAAATGTGTACTGTGGACTTGGGAGAACCATTGCATTCCCTGATCATCACAGGAGGCAGCCTGCATCCGCTGGAGGTGGAGATGCTAAGTCTGTTTTCCATTCCAGAAAATAGCTCAGAATCTCAAAGCATCGATGGAGTCTGAATATAGACATATCCTATTGTCTGATAGTCATCTATGGATGTATATATATATTTGTATAACAAATTAAACAAGTCTTTGGGCTTATGTACTGCATATAAAACAAGTGACCACAAAGAAAGAGCTTGACTCAACCATGTTTGTTTTCCTCCAGTGAGGTTTTTCCTGTAATATTGTCTGTCATTGCGGCTCTTTTGGCAGCTCTCCAGACTGTACACACATGGAGCAGACCAAGCTGGACTTTTCAGTAGGCGTCCATAGACAGAATCATTGAAAAATGGTTTTAATTGATGAAACCAACTTATACAAAGTGGTTGTTACAGAGTATGACGGAGAGGTAACTGGAATGTGAGTCACTTGAATCCCAGCTTTAAAGTGAAGAAATGCCAGGAATGGCAAGAAAAGCAGATAAAGTACTGGTAACACATCACATATTGTTTTTATAATTTTCCTTTTTCTTAAAAGACAGCAGTCCTGACTAGGACAAGTTGTGTGACAACAGCTGGTATCATGACCCATAAACAGAGTGGGTAAGACTAAATCTCTGCCCAGCAGTCCTACATATTTAAAGCTCAGCTGAGCACGTGCCACAAAATAACATTCTTCTAAATTGGCTGTCTTGGTTAGCTGACATCCTAATTATGTGGCTCATATTGTGCTATATTTTGAAGGTTAGGTAATTGTTTACTTATAAATGTTCAGCCAGCCATGTACAGTTGCTTTTTGGCATTAAATAGCATCTTTCATACCCAAGCAGATAAATGGAAAACTTGCTGATTATAAAATAAAATTTTAAACAACTTAAGTTTGAAGGCAACAATGGATTAGCTAAGATTCATCATATCATGTAATTCAGTTAATATGCCATTATATATTGTGTATAGTCTCAATCTAATTCTATTTATTTATTTGAAAGGCAGAGTGTCAGGGCCGGCAACGTGGCTCATTTGGTTAATCCTCCTCCTGCGGCACTAGCATCCCATATGGGCGCCGGTTCTAATCCCGGCTGCCCCTCTTTGAATCCAGCTCTCTGCTATGGCCTGGGAAAGCAGTAGAATATGGTCCAAGTCCTTGGGCCCCTGCACCCGCATGGGAGACCAGGAAGAAGCACCTGGATCCTGGCTTCGGATCGGTGCAGCCCCGGCCGTTGCGGCCATCTGGGGAGTGAACCAATGGAAGGAAGACCTTTCTCTCTGTCTCTGCCTCTCACTGTCTGTAACTCTACCTCTCAAATAAATAAATAAAATCTTTAAAAAAAAAAAAAAAAGAAAAGAAAAGAAAGGCAGAGTGTCAGAGAGAGTAGGAGAGACAGATATCTTCCATCTGCTGGTTCACTCCCAAGTATCCTCGTCTCCTGCATGGGTGGCAGGTGCCCAATACCTGGGCCACCTTCTGATACTTCTTCGGGATCATTAGCAGGAAGCTGGATCAGAAGCAGAGTAGCCAGGACTTGACCCAGCACTCCAGTATGGATATGGGCATCTTGACTCACTGCATAACAAAGCTAGACCCTTACTAATTTTCAGTAATACTCTACTTATTATCTCTCTTGACCAGAGTTTTATACTTTTTGTCAGTTCAAAATAGAAATAGCTTTGATGAATGCCAGTTAATCCAACTCTATGTATTTCTGTGACTTAATCAGTTTATCAGACCTCTTTGCTTAGTAAATTTGTTGGCTGTTAAACAACGATTTTTCTTCTACATAGGATTATCAGTTAGCTAGGGATGATTTTGACTGTTTCTGGACACTCTTTATGGTTCTGTTGGTCTGTGTATCCTTCTTCCCCACACTATCTTCACTATTTTAGTTTTAGAGATTTATTTATTTACTTGAAAGGCAGAGTTACAGAGAGGCGGGGAGAGAGTGAGAGAAAGAGATCTTCTATCCCAAATGGCTGCAAAGGCCAGAGCTGGGCCGATCCAAAGCTAAGAGCCATGAGCTTCTTCCGGGTCTCCCACGTGGGTGCAGGGGCCAAAGGACTTGGGCCATCTTCCACTGCTTTCCCAGGCCATGGCAGAGAGCTGGATTGGAAGTGGAGCAGCCAGGACTTGTACTGGTGCTTTATGGTATATCTTAAAAACAGATAGGATGATGCCTCTAACTTAATTCATTTTTCAAAGTTGTTGGAGCTATTCTAGTTTCTGTGCCTTTCATATAAATTTTGCAATGAGCTTGTTACCTGCAAAAGAGCTTGAGACTTTGATTGGAATGGTTTGATGTGGTATGAATATTTTGGATTTCATCTATTTGGGGATTAATCAGCATTTAGAATCTGGGTTTATGTCATTAAACGTTGGGAAGTTTGCAGCTATTATTTTCTCGAATTTTTTTTTTGTTTTTTGGGGTTTTTTGTTTTATTTTTACTTACTTGAATGTCAGTGAGACAGAACTCTCATCTGCTGGTTTGCTTTGCATATAGCTGGGTAGGCTAGGAGAGGGTAATACAATCCAGGTCTCCTACAAGGGTGGCAGGTACCAAATGACTTGAGACATCACTGCTGCCTTCCAGGGTCTGCTTTTGTGGGAAGCTAGAGTCAGGAGTCAGCAAATTTGGGCACTCCAGTGTGGCACTAGGCCAAACACCCACTTGTTCCTCAAATATTTTTTAGGCATGGGATACTTTATTCTCTTTTGGAACTGTGATAATATTAATGTATGACTTTTTTCCCCCCACACATTTTGAGCTCTAATCATTGTTCCTTTAAATCTATTTTTTCTGTTACTGAGGGTGCAAAATTTCTATTGATGTAGTTTAAACTTCACTGACTCATTCCCCTTTTTCTCCATTTTGCTAGTGAGTCTGTTCTATATGTTTTTAAAATTTTGCTAACTATTCCAAGATTTACAATAGGTTCATTTTATATATTCTATTTCCTATTTTAACATTTGTTGCTGTATTATTTGTTATTGCTGTTCAAACATTTCTGTAATAGCAGCCATAAGATCTTTGTTGGATAATTCTAACATTGATGTCATCTTTACTTTGACATCTGTTGACTGTTTTTCTTCAGCAAGTTAGAAATTTTTGTGGTATTCTGTCAAGTAATTTTGGATTGTAGCCTTGACATTTTGAATTTTATGTTACAGAATTCTGGGTCATGTGGTAGGTAATTCAGTGCAGAACGTTAGGCTAAATTCACAATATTCACAATATGATTATATGTCTGCCTTTTGTGGGCTCTGGTTCCAACATCAGTTTAGTTTTCAAAGACTGCATGCAGCTCTCTTTGAATGAGTCTCAGGTTTGTGCCACTCAGTCTGCGTTTTAGGAGGTCCTTTCTTGGATAATTTGGCTCTTGAGGTTGTTTGCTGTGCTAAGGAGAATCACTTCCAGGTATTAGTGATTTGTGGGTGCTCCTTGGGGTTCATAAACAACTTTGAGAATACCCTAGGATCCTACCCTCCATGATTTCTATACTACTTCCTAGTTCCATAGGTCTGCCTTTCAGTCCTTTGACTAGAAACTTGGGATTCCAGTTACTCTATTCTCCATTTTATACCTTTATGATTGGGCTTACGTCCTGATCCATGTGAAGGACTGACAAAGAAAAGAAAAAGTATCAGGGTTTTTGCTCTACCCCTTTGAAACCATGACTCTCCCAAACAGAAAAGCCATCCTGTATCAAAGTTGTAGTTCCTGTGGTTCCCAGAGCTGCTGGCCACACTACAGGATTGTATGAGCAAAGTCTTTTTGCTCCAAATAGTCTAACTACAAATGTAATAACTTTGCCTTTTTTTTTTTTTTTTTTTTTTTGACAGGCAGAGTTAGACAGTGAGAGAGAGACAGAGAGAAAAGTCTTCCTTTTTCCGTTGGTTCACCCCCAAAATGGCCGCCACGGCCTGGCGTGCTTGTGCCGATCCGAAGCCAGGAGCCAGGTACTTCTCCTGGTCTCCCATGCGGGTGCAGGGCCCAAGCACGTGGGCCATCCTCCACTGCCATCCCAGGCCACAGCAGAGAGCTGGACTGGAAGAGGAGCAACCGGAACAGAATCCGGCGCCCCAACCGGGACTAGAACCCAGGGTGCCGGTGCTGCAGGCGGAGGATTAGCCAAGTGAGCTGGGGCACTGGCATGTTTTTTGTTTTTGTTTTTGTTTTTTTTTTTTTGATATCGAAAATGTGTTTACTGGGACTGTTTCCCACTGTGCTTTTAGTGCTTTAGTACTTCAAGGTGTTTTTAGTGCTGCTTCCTTCTGAAGGAAGATCCCTCTGTATTTTCCTCCTAAAGGCTGGCAGAGGACAATGGAGCAGGCCACACATGAAAATACCATTTGTACAAGGCTAAAAAACATGGTGATTTTGTAACATCCTGGGTATTTCACATCCAAGAAGCAGGAACTGGGGCTTTGCACCAGGTGCTGCTTCTTGTGTTTTCTCTTCTGGAGAGGGATGAAGGAGATTCTTTGTGAGAAACATGTTCGCACAGACCAGTGCCATGGCTCACTTGGTTAATCCTCCACCTGCAGTGCTGGCATCCCATATAGGCACCGGGTTCTAGTCCTGGTTGTCCTTCTTCCAGTCCAGCTCTCTGCTATGGCCTGGGAAGGCAGTGGAGGATGGCCCAAGTACTTGGGCCCCTGCACCCGCATGGGAAACCAGGAGGAAGCACCTGGCTTCAGATCGGCGCAGTGCTGGCTGTAGTGGCCATTTGGGGAGTCAATCGATGGAAGGACGACCTTTTTCTCTGTCTGTCTCTCTCTCACTGTCTATAACTCTACCTGTCAAATAAATAAAAAAAGAAAAAGAAGGGTGCTGGATTGGAAGTGGACCTGAATCGGAATTCTAATATGGAATGCTGGCATTCCAAGTTGCTGCTTATCCTGCTGTGCCATAACACTGGTCCCAGTTTGCCCACTTTGCCTTCTTCTTCTTCTTCTTTTTTTTTTTTTTTTTAAGATTTATCTATTTATTTGAAAGGCAGAGTTATAAAGATGCAGAGGCAGAAAGAGAGAGAGAGAGAGATCTTCCATCCGCTGGTTCACTCCCCAAATGGTTGCAAAGACCAGCACTGGGCCAATTTAAAGCCAGTAGCCTCGAGCTTCTTCTGATCTCCCTCGAGGGTGCAGGGGTCCAAGCACCTGGGCCTCCCTCTGCTGCTTTTCCAGGTCATAGCAGAGAG